TATCCGGTCGGCTCAGAGGAGGCAAAGTATTGGTATTCGTTTGACTATGGTTTGGTACATTACGTTATGATTTCTACCGAGCATAATTATCTCAACGGGAGCGATCAACACAAATGGCTGGAAGATGATCTCGCTAATGTTGACCGGAACAAGACCCCATGGGTCATCGTTACTGGTCATAGGCCGATGTACACGTCCTGCGCCTTAGACAAGTTCAACGGGGATATCGCCGAGGAGCTAAAATCTAATGTGGCTCCTTTGTTTAAGAAGTACAATGTAAGCATCTACTTCACTGGCCACATACACGCTTATACTCGTACTTCTGCTATTGACGGCACGGTCCACATTCTAGCTGGCTCGGCGCGATTCTTGAACCTTGTATGTCCAATTGGCACCATGCCTCATGTGGAGAAGGCTTTAAGTGTGATTGGTTACATTGAGCTCGACGTTGTGAGCAGGAGTGAACTCCGTGGGACATTCTGGGGATATAATGTCACTAGTGGGGAGGTGACTGTACAGGATACTTTCATAGTTGGAAGTTAGTGACAATCAAACTCTCCTCCCACTTGCACTTTCCCAGTCAGAGGTTCATCTTGATTCGCTTCGTAGGCAATTGCCCTTTCAGCATGCACCAACTTCGTATAAAATTCTCCTTTCAAGTCATCTTGATATTGTAATGAATAGTCAGCTCAAAAAATCCCGCAGGGCCTCATTCACATGCATCAGGTCCGCTCGCTGTTGTTTGCGGAGGGGAAGTAGGTTCCCCATCGATGTTGACTGCAGTCCTTGATCTTGATCTGTCACCGCGGGACACTATATTTGTCATTTGCTATCACTTGGATGTTGCTTTTGGAGTGGTCATGCAACAGATCGCTGATGACAGGTTGGCAACCCGCATACGAGTGATTTCCCACCTATAGACTGACTCGATATTAGTGACGTGAAGTTTGGATTCCACTACTGGAGGAATAACACTACTAATAGCAGGGTGTGTCATCTCAGTGCAGCATAGATGATATAATATCGTGCAATAATTGCAATATTGCTGTAAATTGTAGTGAAATTCTCCTATTTTCCCCTCAAGTTCAGGATCTGAACACCGCAATTTCTCAACTCGGTGATCTTTGGATCACGGATCAAGTTTTTCCTCAATGATCATAGAACAGAATCGGAAATGAGGATCACGCGAGATCCAGATCACAGACCAGGGATCAGTATCGAGGTTCAGGGATCGAGATCAACAGTCGAGGATCAGGATCAAAGATCACGGATCAAGAATCACAGATCTGGCTCACGCATCTCGGATACAATGGATTTGGCTCAGGCGTCAAGATCGACGCGTGATCTAGATCATGTGCTTTATATATAGATAAGGGTCCGCATACCGGCCCAGATGTGAAACCTCATATTCGTGTATCCTAAGTGATGGAGTAGTCGCTAGTAGAAGCTGTGTTCTACCGAGTCCCGTGCTCGGCATTCAGGATATACCTCATTGTAGGCTAATGCTGCGATGAGAGATGTATGATTCCTTTCCTGGTAAGTGAAGCTAAGGGACAAGGGCTGATGTTCGACTAGACTCATAACAGTGGCCGGAGAAATCTATTGCCTAGGAGTTCATCAGCTCGGAGAGATCAGCATCATCCTGTCTATAAGGACCTTGCTATCAACGCCATCAACTATGGTATCATACGACACTGTCGTAACGACAACAGGAACAGCGCGATATTGCGCTAGCCTGTGCCCATCCAGCCGGAACCATGCAGTTACACCGGTGAGAATGAGGGCGATAGTGGTATCAGTTTCTCCAACATGAGGAAGAAATGGAAAACATTCCACATACAAGAGTGGGTGGCGTCTGAACCACCACTGGCCGCTCGGGCGTTCATCGCGGTCTGTATCGATAAAGAGCTTGTTCCCTACATAGAGGACGAACAAAGCAACCATCTCACTATAGCTCTTAATCGCCGAAGTTATTCCACAAACCCTCACCCTTATGTTCTCAGATATCTTACTAAGATACTTGAGAACAGAATGGTAAAGGTTTCATGCTAAGATTATCTTAGCGCTAATCACCAGGACAAGTCGGTCGTGACAAGCCTTACTCAACTGATTCTCGTCGAGAAGCAAGGAGACAAGAGGGTCAGCGACTTCCTCAGCGTCACCAACGAGCGCTTGAGGGAACTGGAATACTGATCGGTCGCCCAGGGCGACTCGCCCTTCCTATATAGCACGCGGCCATCCGAACATGCGCGCAATGCAATTAAGGTGCAGTGTAGAAATGCAACACCCTGAGTAGTATGAAATTCATACTATGAATGCTACGACAATTCAAGACATCTGCTAATTCAATGTCCTTCCGACCTGAT